AGTCTTCTGAGCCCAGACCCCATGAACCCCAGCTCCATTTTTCCATTTCCATTCTAAACCCTAAACCTTAAACCCTAAACCATAATCCTTAAACCCTAAACCCTAAACCCTAAGCCTCAAGCCCTAAGCCCCAAACCGTATTGTCAGCTCACCCACTTCTTCGCGCTACTGCCGTTCCCCCTGGACTGGATCCTTTGGCCCTTGACCTTCGTTGAGGGCCTGCTTGAGCTGCAGGCCTGGGAGCGGACTGGGTTTACTAATAGCCCCCCTTGAGGTTTAGGGTTTAGGGTTTAGGGTTTAAGGTTTAGGGTTTAGGGCTTAGGGTTTAGGGTTATTGTTAAGGACTCTAGTCCCCCTTACGTAGATAGAATATTAGGGTTACATTGGGGTTATATAGGGGTAATGGAAAAGAAAATTGAAACTATTTAGGGTTTAGGGTTATAGTCCCCCTTAAGTAGACAGAATATTAGGGTTCTATCGAGATAATGGACAAGAAAATGGAAACTACTATCTAGGGTTTAGGGTTTAGGGTTTAGGGGTATAGTCCCCCTAAGTAGATAGAATATGGTTTTGGGTATATTAGAATAAGATCCCCATATACCCCATATTCTATCTACCTAGGGGAGACTATAACTTGGGCGGTTCATGCTATACTTGCGTTTGTAATTGAATACGGGAGCTATACGAAGAAACTTTGAGCTTGCTCTGGGATGACATAAAGGTTTAGGGTTTAGGGGTTTAGGGTTTAGGGATGAGGGGTTGAGCTTTTCGAGCCCTGAATCACTTGGCAACCTGACCTATCACACAATGCTTCACGACAGATCAGCTGGTGATCGCGGATGTGAACGGACCACAAGGCACGGAGAAGTTGCATGATGGTGAGGGTGCTGGGGCTTCCTTAGATCCAACCCAAGACCTGCAATTTTCAGGTTCATCATGGTTTTAGGACAGACCGACGTCTCTCTATAGCACCCTCTAACTAAAAAAAATCCATGTGTTTTTTGGGAGGGTATGTTCCACGCAAAGTTTTCTTAATGTAGACCTTTGTGGAGTACATGTGGGTGACCAGATGTGCCAATGCTGTGTTATGATCTCCACACATGCCTGGGGTCCGTACGATATCCCCATGTTCAGAAAGCCCCACATGTTTCCTCTTTTGTCAGGCTTGCTCACAGCGCAGGCGCCTGCCGCATTGCCTTGCAAGCGTGGACTTGACTCAGCGGTGTACATAGTATGCCCACATTCTTCTGGGTTGCTGTTAAGGAACTTGAATTAAGTTACCATAATGGGTATATATAGTAAATAATCGGGTTTCCCCAATATAGTAACTTAATTTAAGTTCCTTAACAGCAACGCATTCTTGGGACATAGAGGGATTAGCGTCTAGGACCCAGAGTCCAGGATTCACGCTCCCCCAAACTCACGTGGAGCCCGATACGCGCTTTTCTTGTCAATTGAAGGTACAGTCCACGTTAAGTAGATAGAATATGGCTTTGGGTATATTGTAATAAGATCCCCGTCGAATCACCCATATTCTATCTACTTAAGGGGGACTAAAATCTTTTGTAATCTTTCTAGGGCCCTTTTGGGGTGTCCGTGTTTGGTAATTTGGGCCGGAAGGTTCACCGACTATGGGGTTCTACAGGGGACAATGCAAAAGAACATGGAAAATACTATAATGGGGTTATATAGGGATTATAGGGTATATATTGGGGTTATATAAGAGATAATGGAAAAGAACAGGGAAACTACTACAACGGGGTATGTTGGGATTATAGGGTATATTTTGGGGTTATTTAGGCGTACTGGAAGAGATAATGGAAACTACTTCCAGTCACGCTTCGTATCCTCCGTTCGTATTCGTGAGGCATCACGGAAATACTCCAGGTTTCGGCATCTCGTTGTTTACCGCAAGAGCGTGCCCTAAACCCTACAAACTATTGCTTACTGGTTGTTACTGGTTGTTAGTAGGGAAGAAGAGAATATAATCCCCATACAATCTTTATAGAATTATAACCCCTTATTCCCTGTTAACCCTAAATCCTAGCCCCAAAACCCTGTATATAGACGTATGCACATTCTTATATGTGTATGTATGTGTATATATATATATGTGCTACC